TGGAACGCCATTGAGGACCGAGGCCACCGATGACGACTGTTACGAAGGCTTCTTCGGCTATTGATCCTCCGCATCGAAGAAGCTTGTCGCGCAGTTCGCGACAGCGGCTGATATACGCCATTCCCTTTTCGCCTGGTTTCATTTCGACGTTTGTCAATTGCGCCATTAACCGACTCTGGTTGACGCTGTCTGTTGCTTGGTACAGGTTCTTCAGGTGGCTGTAAGCGAGCTCGGCAGAGTTGCCGTATCCCCGGTAAGACCGAATGTTCTGCTGCTGACTCGGAGTGATGTTTCTCAGTAGAATTGTATATGCCATCATTGATTGATAGGTATACTGCTGCTTCTCGTACTGTGTGCCGCTTGTTTGGTATGGCAGGGACCCGTCGAAGAAGCCAAGTATCTGCGCGCCTTCCATCATGAGCTCGAACTCAAACGACCAGGTGAAGAAGTCTTTTCCGTCGAAGGGCCTTGACGTCTGCAGCTTCAAGACGTGCGCGAATTGCGACTGAACTTGTAGTGCATCCAGTGGTTTTTCTTGTCCAGGTGGAGCTTGCGGGTGCGGCATGAAGCTAATGGACCCGCGTTCATACGGAGCAAAGGTAGGTTGTTGCTGGTTTCCGCGCGCATATGATGAGCCGTCGAGACTCATTGGAGTCACGTTGTTGTTGCTGTTGTTTGACTGCGCAGGTGCTGACTGCTGGTGTTGCTCGTAAAACGACATGAAGGAGAAAAACTTCTCCATCATACTCTGGTCGAAGCTGGCAGGCTGGCTGGCTGAAGGCGCTGCTGGTCCCGTTGCGGTTCCTTCCTCTGTCTGCAGGCCAGAGGCAGGAGGTGGGGTAGGAGTAGTCCCGGGAGAACCATTAGAGGAACTCCTTTCCTTGTATGTTGCCATGTTGTCTGTTGATGACTTGATAGTAGTCGAATTTCCCCTGATAGCTCTCATACCATGTTGGGCTGAGAAAAGCCCTTAGGATCTTTTGCAGGGGTAAATTCGGGGTAGGATAATTGTAATAGCGGAAGCGTTTAATAAAGAAGTTGTGAACCACCTTGCGCTGATATGTGAGGGCAAAGTAAGTTGATTAAAGCAAAGAGATACAAGCATTTATATATGAGTACAAGGAATATGAAAGGATACGGTTATAACTACTTTACTGTTGCTGTTGCGGTTCGATACAGTGACGACTCGGGCAACTGCTCTGTAGCGAGTCAGTTGTGTGTCCTTGCTGTCGCGCTGTACTTGTCAGGTCAAAGGTCGCTGACCTTTGACTTTCGCGTAACCTCCAGCAACCTCTTTCAACCTCCGAGGGTTGACTCGCGTGTGCCTCAACATGGTTCGCTTCGCTTCTGGTGCGATGTTTCGACACGACAGAGGCGCTTAAGATTTACTGTTTCCAACATTAACAACCTATGATATATTTCTAAATATAGTAGTTTTTATTGTTGATTATATCGTGACTGGTAGTTACAAAAGCTGCACTGGCCTGATTCTTCTCAGTTAAATGAACCTAATTATATTGTGGTCGGTTTTGTTTCTGTGTCAATGTAGCAATAATATTAAATATAATTAGATCTCCTGCATACAGTCACGTCACTTTATTAACACCAACTGTGACTGTATCGGGTTGTTAATTTCCAGTAATAGTTTAATTCCAGGATAACGAACCAAATTATTTAATATGGCTGATTACAATTTGACATAGGTTGCTCATGTAACCATTTCGTGATTGCCAGCACAGATTCCCAACTGTTCGTCGCAACGGTGTGTACCACCAGTTCCTGCCAAAACCGATGATGTTCCTACAGTCCACGTGGCCAAGCGAAGCTGACACCCCCAGCTGATTTCGACTGCAACCTGCGGATTCCGTGCGTGGTTGCTACGTCAACCACCACCCAACCGTACTTACCTTCGGACCAATAAGTGGTTGTCAACCAGCGTTGACAGCACCACCAGTTTTGGGCAGATGACTGCCTCGTTAAAGCGACGGGCAACTTTTGGCAGTGTTGGGTTCAGAAGTTTTTTTTTTGAACCAGGCTTGCCAGCGCGAAAGTGTTGGCTGGCGAAAACCAGGATTTCGTGCAGACACTTTTCATCTGCAGTAACAGTTCGCCAGGGTTCTGGGTTTTGGGTGGCAAATGTGCACCGTCGCTACACGACAATCAACTCCCATGCTCCTTCACCTACTCGACTGTCAACTGCCCCAAACTGAGCGGACATTTTTCTGATGTCCTCTCAGGTCGACCCTTCCACTCTCTCCCCCTCCTCTCCCTCCTCCACCTCTCCCTCGCTTCTCCCGCCTCAGGGCTTTCCGAGCCTCTCTCGCCGGACCTGTTTGCGGGGCTCGGGCCGAGCCTGCGGTCCTTGACTTTCCTGGTGCATGCGAATCAGAAGGGGGCGAGTGAGGGAGAGGATGGAGGGGAAGGGGGGATGGGGAGGAGTGGGGATGAGGAGGGCGGGTGGGTGGAGGATGGGTGGGCGAGGGAAGACGAGGTGGTGGGGTGGTTACCTCCCTCGCTCTGCTCGCTCACACGCCTGCAGCACCTCACCACCAACGTGGGAGGCGCCTGGGGCTGCACTGGCCTCAACGCCCTCTTCCCACCCCACGCCTCGCACTCCATCCCCCCCTCCTCTTCCTGCTCCTGCTCCTGCTGCTGCTGCTCCTGCTGCTGCTGCTGCTGCTGCTGCTGCTGCTGCTGCTGCTGCTGCTGCTGCTGCTGCTGCTGCTGCTGCTGCTGCTGCTGCTGCTGCTGCTGCTGCTGCTGCTGCTGCTCCTCCTCCAACTCCGACCCTTCCTCACACCAGCACGAGCGCCACCACCATCAGTGCCTCTCCTCCTTTCCTAGCCTCACCTCTCTCTCCCTCCTCTCTCACCGCACCTTTCCTCCCTGCCTCTCCTCCCTCTCCTCCCTCACTCGCCTCTCCATCCCCCTCGCCTCCCCTCTGCTCTCCCCCGATTCGCTCGCTCTCTTCTCCCACTGGCCCCGCTTGTCCCATCTGCACGTCAATGGTGAGGGACCGCCCGAACCAACCTTCTGCCGCACCAAACCTAGTTCCATCGAACCTGCAACTGGTCTCACCGAACCTCCCTCTTACCCCGAAGCAACTCCTACCTTCGGCTCCCTTCGCCACCTCACTCTCATGGGGACAGCTGGCGTCATCCCATTGGCTGTGTGGGGGCGCCTGTGCCCGCAGCTGCTGTCACTCAAGATCCAGGGCTCGCCCCACGTGGCTGTAAGGGGGTGGGGGGAGCAGCTGGCGGAGGGTTCTGGGGAGGGGGACGTGGGGCAGGGCGCATGTGGTCAGGGGGAGGGCGCATGTGGTGCAGAGGAGGCAGCTGCGTGCTTCTTCCCTTCCCTCGAGGAGCTTGTGCTGCGCAACGTGACCACCCATGCATCGCAGCACACACGCACAGAGCATACATGCACAGAGCACACATGCACAGAGCATAGAGGCGCAGAGCAGCAGCAGCAGCAGTAGAAGCAGAAGCAGAAGCATGCTCTGGCATTCATGGGTCTGACTATTCTGTTCCTGTGTTCTGCAGCAGGGGCACACTCTAGCATTCATGGGTCGGCTGCCCCGCCTCACCCACCTGGCCATCGACCACACCCACTCGCTTTCAGAACCCCCCACGCCAACGCACGCCCCCACCATCCTCCCGCCCCTCCTGCCCAACCTCACCTTCCTCCGCATCCACTTCCCCCCACCCGTCCCCCTCCCCGTGCTGTCCCACCTCCGCACGCTCATAGTGGGGTCGTACCCTCACTCCTCGCGCTTCCTCTCCTCGCTCTCCCTCTTCCCCTCCCTCACTGCCCTCCGCATCTTCAACCTCTCAATGTACAACTACCAGTCCGCGCTCTCCTGCCCTCCCTCACTCAAATCCCTCCAAATCTGCATCTCCCACCTTCCTCTCCTCCCCGACTCCCTCCATCTCTTCTCCTCCCTCACTCGCCTCCACCTCTTCCAGTGTTCCACGCCCCTCGCCCTGCCCGCCTGCCTCTCCGCCTTCTCCTCCCTCGCCCACGTGTCCTTCGGTCCTGACTACTACGACCCTGTGCTGCCCTGCCGCATCCAACAGTACCTCCGGGGGAAAACCTGGGAGCGGGAGGACGCCGGGGAGGGGAGAGGGGAAGGGGAAGGGGAATGGGAATGGGAAGGGAAGGGAGAAGGAGAGGGAGAGGGGGAGGAGGAGGGGGAGGAGGAGGGGGAGGAGGGGCGGGAGGGGGAGGGGAAGGGGGAGGGGGAGGGGGAGGTGGAGGGTGAGGGGGAGGAGAAGAGGGAGTGGGAGGGGGAGGGGAAGGTGGAGGGTGAGGGAGAGGGGAAGAGGGAGGGGAAGGGGGAGGGGATGCAAGCGGGGCAGGAGGTGGAGGTGAGAGGCTCGCCAAAGAACGCGAGTGCCAGGAACTCTGATTCGCACAACCAATCGTAGTTACCAGCAGAGGTGTTACCAGCAGAGGCGGTACCAGCGGAGGTGCTAGAATGTGTGTTCCAGCGGATTCAGCTGCATGGGGACGAGGCGAGCGTGAGAGGAGTGTGCCGCGAGTGGCGGCAGTGGTGCCGCCTGCACACCTCCTTCTTCGCCCTCGCCTTCCACCCCCTCCTGCTCTCCTGCCTCCCCCTCGCCCTGCTCAACCCCCCTCCCCCCCCTCCCACCCTGAACCCCGACTGCAGAGGCTGCAGCAGGAGAAGCTCCTGCCTCTCCGGCCATGGGATGACAGCTCAGGCCTGCTCCCTTTCGTAAGAAGCTGCCACCAGCTCCCCTCCCTCGTCCCTCCCTTGGTACCCCGGCTTCTCTCCATTCTGCGTCCTCCTCTCCTCCCCCATCTCCCACACCTTCTCCCTGCTCCCCTCCTGCCCGCCTCCCCTCACCTTCCCCCATTCCATCACTCCCTCCTCCCTCTCCTCCTGCTTCACCCACCACTATCAAACCGACTGGAACTCAGAATTCTCCCCCATCTGGCTAGCCTCGCTCCCCTCCCCCTCCTCCCTCTCCCACACCCTCATGCTCTACCCGAACCTCTCTGCACTCCTCCTCCCCATAGTCTCCACCGCACTCCACCACCTCCGCCCCTCCCATGTGCGCTCCCTCCTCTCTGCTGCCACCGCCCTCCCCGCCCTCACCTCCTTCTCTGTGCTGCTAGAGCCGGGATTCAGGGGGGAATACGACTGGGGGTATGGGCGGGAAGAGCTGTGGGAAATGCCTGAGGAGGAGAGGAAGAGGGAGTTGTGGCGATGGTGGGAGGAGACGAACAGGGAGATGGAGAAGGGGCTGCTAGCAGTGCTGAAGGGGTGCCGCGGACTCAGAGAGCTACGCATTCAGGGGAAGGGCGTAGCCCACCGCCTCAAACTCCCCCCCTCTCTCTCCCTCCTCCTCCTCTCTCGCCTCACCTCCCTCTCCCTCGCTCTCCCTGTCGGTCACATGCCTCCCCAGTTCGCCCACTCCTCTCCCTTCGCCCGCCTCTCTTCCCTCCGCTCCCTCTCACTGCACGTCTGTATGCATCCGCATGACAGCACCGGCACATCTGAGGAAGACGACAGCTGGAGTGGGCAGTCAGAGGAGCTGCTGCTGGGCCTGCCGGCATGCCTCTCCTCCCTCTCCCTGCTCCTCCCGACCGACACCATGCCCGCCTCCTTCTCCTCGCTCACTGCCCTCACGCTCCTTGCCTCCAACCTCTGGATTCCGGGGCTGGATGGGGAGGAGGACGAGGGAGACGGAGGGGTGGGAGAGGAGGAGTGGGAGGGGGAGAGATGGGAGGATGAGGCAGAGGAGGAGAGTGGTATAGGCGAGGGAGATGAGGATGGTTGGTGTGATGATGATCATGACGATGCTTATCCGTGCCCCAATGAACCCCACAACCCACCCGGTGCTTCAAGCATTCACCACAGCACACTGCGGCCTCTCCGCAACCTCACTTCCCTCACTCTCTTATGCTGCCGCTCTTTCCCCCCACTCGTTCGCCACCTCACTCGTCTCACCTCCCTCTCCCTCGGAGCCTTCAATGACTACGAGATCGACTCCATCACCCGATCCTGATCACTCCACCGCGGCTTCTCTCGCCTCACTCGCCTGCGCGAGCTCTCCCTTTTCTTCGATAGCTACTCCCAAGAGCGCCTTTCCCGCTTGCCCCGCCTCCAACGCCTCCACCTGCAAAGCTACAGCAGTGAGATGACACGGCTGAAGGCTGCTGTGGCGCACTCTTTGGAGCAGCTGCACGTTGTATTCGGCGCCAGTCTGTCCAGGACAGTAAGCAACACCGCGTTGAGCTTCCGAAAGCTCAAGTTGCTTTATCTGGAGCACTTAGCGCACGATTCTCGGCTGCACATGTCTCTCTTCCCTGCCCTAGAACACACGGTACTGGCAGACGAGGTCAAGGTGTACTAGGGGTTGGAGAGCGGTTTCTCGTCAAGCCTCCGTTTCCTGCAATTGGGCTCTGCTGTTAGACTACCAAAAGAGCTTGGTCACCAAAAGCATGAGCTGATGCGGCTCACGGCGCTCACCACTCTCATTGTGGACGAAGCTGACTACCGGGATTTCCTTGCAGCCCTTTCCTGCTTCTCCTCCTTGCGCATCCTCCGCCTCTCCAACATCACCCGAGGCTGCTCTGAGTCCCACTTCTCCTGCCCGCCTCTCCTCTCCACACTTCAGATCTGCTTCTCCGACCTGCCCCGCCCCCCTCACTCGCTCAATTCTCCCGCCTCACTCGCCTGGACCTGCTGCATTGGCGCCGCCTGCACTCTCTCCCGCCCTTCCTCTCCTCCTTCTCGTCGCTGCGCCACTTGAAAGTCACGACCGGTGGGCCCAAGCCCACCCACCCTGCTTGCCTCAAATGCTTTCTTCGAGGTAGGGACTGGTACAAGCATTCGCCATGTGACGGAATGGACTGGCACCGGTACGAGCATTTACTAAGTTGATGGAAGCAGAAAAAACTGGCCAATAAGTTCCTCACTTGGCTACAACGCTGTAAGACCCCGTGTTTTTGCCTTGTCTAGCATAGGTCATTTTGTGCCTAGCATAATGATTTCTGTTGTGAAGAGTTACCGTATGTGTACTACCGTAAACCCTGGGATACAAGACCCCCTTCAGTTGTAGACCCCCAGATTAAGACAAGACTCTTCAAGGAGTCTGCAGAGCAGTCGTCATAGCATTAGAGATCTTAATCATACAGCACACTAGATTACGATTTACATCGACATATCGCATAAAGTACTCGGGTCTTAGTAATTGAGAACAGCGGAATGGCTTGCATTGATTGAGTTGGGGTACAAGTACCTAACCCTAATTGTTTGTACCCCATATAGTATGACCCACTAAGGGCTATAACATTTGACACACCCCGGTGGAGATGCCGGGAGAACCAGCAACTCTCAAGGAGGCCTTGGAGAGTAGTGATGCTGAGGAGTGGAAGAAGGCAATGGAGAGTGAGCTGAAGAGCATCGAGGAGAATGACACGTATGATTTGGTGGAGCGACCGGAGGGGCGTAAGGCGATTACGTCCAAGTGGCTCTTCAAGATCAAGTCTGACGCCGACGGCAAGATCGAGCATTACAAGCCTATGCTGGTGGCCAAGGGGTACCAACAGAAGGGTGGGCTTCAAGGAGCTGTTTGCTCCTGTGGTAAAGCCAACGACGCTGCGAACCCTACTCGCGGGAGCCGCGATCAAAGGTTGGGTGGTGAAGCAGCTAGAAATCGCAACGGCATTCCTCAACGGAATCCTTGATGAGGAGATTTTCATGGCGCAGCCAGAGGGGTTTGATGACGGTAGCGGCAGAGTGTGGAAGCTGAAGAAGGCCCTCTATGGGCTGAAGCAGGCCCCTAGGCAGTGGTACCTGAAGCTGCGCGAAGTGTTGGAGGAGATCGGCTTCACTCCCTCAACGGCCGATCACTCCTTGTTCATGCTTGGCGAGGGGGAGCAGAGGAGCTTCATGGTGGTCTACGTGGACGACATCCTGATCTTCTCACCCTCCTCTGACCTTGTGAAGGAGGTGATGCTGAAGCTTCAAGACAAGTTCAAGTGCAAGTCACTTGGCGACGTGAACTTCTATCTTGGGCTCCACATCGATCGAGACGTGGAGAAGCGGTGCATGCGGGTGCACCAACGCAAGTACCTGGAGGCATTGGCTGCCAACTTTGGGCAGAATGAAGGCCATGTGGCTACACCCTTTCCCTCTGGGTTCAAGTGTGTGAAGAGACTAGAGGAGGAGAGCGTGGGTGAAGAGGAGAGGCGCCGTTTTCACTCATTGGTGGGCAGCCTCATGTATGCGGCGGTCAACACACGACCGGATGTCGCGTTTGCTACCGGGCAGCTGGCAAGGGTTGTTCAATGCCCTAATGAGGAGCAGGTAGCAGCTGGAATGAGGGTGGCCAAGTACCTTGGCCAAACACCGACCGTTGGGCTGCAATACTCGGCAGCGGCACAAAGGCGCCAAAAGGGCGCGGATGGTGTGGAACCCGGGCGTTTGTTCCTCACCGCATTCTCGGATGCCTCCTATGCATCAGAACCAGAGGACATGACAAGTGTTGGAGGGTTCATATGCTGTGTTGGTGGAGGCCCAACTGCTTGGGAGAGCAAGAAGCAGGTGGACCAAGCATTGAGCTCGGTGGAATCCGAGTACATGGCACTCTTCCGTGCCGTACGGGAGATTGTGTGGCAGCGGCGTTTGCTGGCTGAATTGGGGGAGGAGCAGCAAGGACCTACCCCACTCTACTGTGACAGCCAGGGAGCCATTGCTCTAGCTAAGAATCCGGTGTTGCACGGCCTCACCAAGCACATGAGGGTGAAGTGGCACTGGACGAGGAGCATGGTGGCCGCGGGTGAAGTTGAGTTGCGTTATGTGAAGACGACGGGGCAGCCAGCTGACATGATGACCAAGAGGCTGGTGGAGCAGCAGCATTGGAAGTGTTGCAAGCTGGCTGGGATGGCTCTGAACTGAGAGCAACAGATCCTAAGGCCAACAACCCGAGGGGGAGTTTGTTGGTGCAACCCTACGGTTTGCACTCGGCTTGTTGTCCGTGTGCGTGCATGCGTGTGTGCATGGAATGGAATGAGGGCATGAAATAATATATATTTCATGCTTATAATAGTGTGTGTATGATGGGTCATGATGTCGAGTGTGTGTGTCGAGTCAATAGCGAGTTATCGCTAGCCGCGTGTTAATGCGGTCATTTGTGTCTCGCGCGCGGTTTCTATTTTGTCGTGTGTCCCGTGCGCGGTTTCTGTTTTGTCCTATGTCGAACGTTCGGCGTGTCACAGGTGTGTGCAGCAGACCCATCAAAAACTCAAGGATGAGTTTTGTGATGAAGAACCCGAGCCTTGGTTCAAGCTTCAAGTGATTTCGAAGCTCGCCAAAAGGGTACACCTCAAGATATTGAAGATAGTTACATTACAAAGTGTAGTGTAACATTTCAGTTGGTGTAGGCCCTTGTGAAGGGTAGTTTCGAGACCCTTCTTGGTTGGGGACAGTGTGGCACTGTTCCCCATCACTGTACCTCGGCTCTTGGGGTTTGTAGGAGCTGGGAGTCATTCCCAACTCGTAACCCTTCGTAACTCTTCCTAGTTCTTCCATTTTGTGTGTTCCAAGACTACGTTGCTGCCATACTGCCGTTCGTTCAATATGACGCTGTGTCGTCAATTCCTGATCAACTCGTGCGATCTAAATTGCGTATTGTAGGTGACGTTAAGACGCTCCAGATCCAAGTTGAATGAGGTCATTTGGAGCTGTGACCAGATCGCTATGAACGTTTGAAGCCGCTGTGCAGAAACCTGACTGCGCACTCTATCTTTCGTTTTAGGCACATTGAAGCCTATTGTGACTATAACAGGACTTAGCTGTAAGAAAGGGATCAGGGAAGATTTGGGTACTGAACTATGCCCCGCTCCGACAGATCTTATTGGAGGAGTTCCACGATGTGGCATACGCGGGACATTTCGGGAGCAACAAGACGTTAGCGGGAATAGCGAAGTATTACTATTGACCCCGGATGGCAGCAAACGTGCAGCAGTTCGTCACTTCGTGCGACACGTGCCAGCGGATGAAGAGTAGCAAGCAGAAAAAAACAGGGTTACTTCAGCCTCTTCCAGTACCGGAGCAGCCATGGCAAGTCGTTAGCCTAGACTTCATTACTGGGCTTCCTTCGACCTCACGAGGGCATGACGCTATACTCGTGGTGATCGACAAGTTCTCTAAAATGGGACACTTCATTCCGACCAACGCCACAGCTACAGCTGAAGCAACTGCTCGCCTCTTTCTTCGAACGCATCAACACCATCCACGGCATCCCCGCTACACTCATCTCAGACAGAGACCCAAAATTCACGAGTAAGTTCTGGAAGGAGGGAACCCCTGGGTTTGTTGGGGACAAAGCTTGCAATGTCTTCAGCGTACCACCCCCAGACTGACAGACAGACAGAGCGACTCAATCAGGTGGTTGAACAGTTACTACGCACAGCTTGCAAAGACGACATCAGCCACTGGGACTTACAGCTACCGACGCTTGAGTTTGCTTACAACAACGCTTCACATGCGGCCACAGGGAAATCTCCTTTCTTCCTGTGCTACGGACGGGAACCACTTACACCACAGCAGCCAACCACACCGGCACACGTCCAAGCCACACACGACTTCGTCACCACCATGCAGCAGCTATGGGAGAAGACTCAGCGACGTCTCACCACGATGCAGAACTCCCATAAGCAGTATGCCGATCGACAGCGACGTGATCACTCAGTAGCAGTCGGAGATCAAGTGCTTCTCGACATACGAAACTTGGACTTGTCTCACCTTCCGTCCAAGCTCTGGCCTCGCTTCTGTGGTCCCTTTCACGTTGAGGCGATGGTGACACCAGTTACATTCCGCTTGCGCTTACCTACTATGTGGAAGCTTCACAACGCTTTCCATGTTCAGCTGCTGAAGCCCTACAAGGACCCCAACCAGCAGTTCACAGGACGACAGCTACCGCCACCACCACCTGTTCTCGTACAGGATGAACCAGAGTACGAGGTGGAACGAGTGCTCGCTCATCGACGCAGACGCGGC